TAATATAATATAATATAATATAATATAATATAATATAATATAATATAATATATAAAATGGTCATTTCTTATACCTGTTGTAACCAAGATTGTAAATTTTTAATGTGTGGCTTGATTTATGTCTCTGTGAATAGATTTTGAACATTCCTGTGAATGAAATTCAACATTCTTTTTTCTAGTGGGTCCTGCTAGTGTTAATCCATTTCTTAGTTAAGTCAAAGGCTGTGTTTCAGATACAATGAACACATGGCTCACGAATGAATTATTAACCACTGTGCATCATTTCATGTGAATAATCTCGTTACAGGATAGGTCACAACTGTTCACGACAGGACATTTAGTATCATGGTGAGGGCACCTGGCCTCAAAACCTTTTCAGTAGCTTGTCAAATTTCACCTTTCGATGTATACCAATTAATGAAACAGATTTGTGGAGGTGGGGCTAGAATCTTCTTTTCAACAACAATAACGCACTCTTCTCCCACCTGCCAGTGGCAGCATCTGTGTGTAACTGGAGGGTACTGCAAGCATCCAATGAAACATTCTGAGATACAAATACCTAGAAAGTATGTGATGAAGAACCACTCTGTCTCCATCTTAGGCTTAAAAAGCTGTCTTATAGTAAAGACAAACTAGGTTCATTCCTGTTTATGATTAAACCTCTGTTTCTCAAGGATTGGGCTATGCCCCACCTGTAACCTTACCTACAAATGGTTCTGCACTACCTGTTCCAGAAATGGCAATCATGTACTTGTTTCAAAACATAATAACCATCTTACAGCCTTAGCTTTGTTTCAAAAGAGTTTGTTATTCAGCCTTGTTTTGACTGTTGTTAAGACTACCTTACAATCACGTCTTTGTTTTAAGAGGTTGTTATGACTACGTTCTGCTCCTGTAAACCTCCTCCCATTTCCTGCTAAATCCTTCATTGAGAAACTCCTTACCCCTGAGCTATAAAAACCTTGTCTTCCTCACATCCAATACTGACCTCTCAAACCCCATAAAAATTTTAAAAAAGGTTGCTTTAATTAATTGCTTGCTTTAATTAATTTGCCTATGATGATTTTGGTCGATGGTCTTTGTCCTCTCATCTTTGGGATTAACAAAGTTTCTCCAGCATGTTGCTACACAGTGATTTGAGGTGGTGGCATCCTTATTTATTTTTCAACATTTTTTTTTTTCAAGAGGATGATGTGTGTTCACACTTTGGCACCATGAGCACATAAGTACAGAAGAACCTGGCTGAAGAACCAACTCATTTGACAAGTACTTCAACCCACTCACAAAATGCCCCTTCGTCCTCAGAATCTTTTAGGCACTAAGTATTTTCAGAAACCTATTTCCTTTTCAAGTCAAGCTCATTTACTTCCTAGACCATCTACCACAGGCCATTCCTGAATTGAATTCTCTCTTTGTACCTGATCTAAACAAAGTTATGGTCTCCTTTCTTCTGAGAAGGATAGTCTGCCTCTCCCATGAACTCTTTCTTGGCATAGCTGATAGGTAGGTTTGGCTTAGGTTTGTTTGGGATGGGTGGCCTTACAATTAAATGCAACCAGCATTAGCATTCCTTAATTGCACCAGGGCATTCAGCCACAACTAGTACTGATTATGATTAAACATCTCCTATTCAAAAATGCCAGTTTCCAGATGCTGAGACCCATAACCAAGCCTTCGGCAGAGTTTAAGAAATCATATGAAGGAAGGAGGAATTAGTATAACCTAGAGGGGACAGGGAGCCACACAAGGTCCAAATATATCTGAGCACAGGGCTCTTCTCTGAGACTGTTTATCCAACCAAGGACCATGCATGGATATAACCTACAACCCCTGCTCAGACTTAGCCCATGGTAGCTCAGTATCCAAGTGGGTTCCCTAATAAGGGGGACAGGAATTGTTTCTGACATGAACTCAATGTCTGGCTCATTGAGCTTCTCCGCCCCCCCCCCCCACCTGCGGGAGGAGCAGCCTTGCTAGGCCACTGTTTGCTCATCAAGTACAGCGCTGGCTGTTTCATTTTGTTCCCTAAGACCTACCCGTGCTTGGGACATTCAATCTTCCAGAACAAGCCTGCAACTGGGGAAGGGTATATAACCACAAAAGGCCAACTCTAAAACTATAATGTGCAACATGCATTCCAGAGATTCCTGAGGACTGCACCAAGGTTGGAACTCCAGCTGCAACAATGACTCCTTTGTTCAGCTTCTGTCCATCACCTGTGTCTTTCTTTCTCCCACTGTATTCCCAGAATACTTTCTTAAATATCACTTGTACATTAATCTTTGTCTAGGAGAGCACTTTTGTTGAACTCTAGGACAACCTTCATTTATCTATGAGCTGTACTTTTTTACGTGTTCCAGGTACTTAAAGATAACAATAAATCATTGCATCAGGAAAAAAAAAAAAAAAAAAAAAGAAGAAGAGAACATTTTTACTCTAGCCATGGTAAGAAATGTGGTAAATCTGGGCTGGGTTTACTTACTTGGGTTGGTGATTCTACATCCAGAATATCACAGAATGGGTAGCACATGAAAATTATAGGCCAGTCGTTCCCTGTAAGTGAAATAATTTGGTGGAATTTACCAGGCCATCCAGAATGTGAATCTTTCAGTGCCCAACTTCAAGGCATTGTTGACAGCAAATGTAAGAAAACTCACAAGGAAGGGACCTATCTGTTTTCACTAATGTTATCTTCAGAAAATCATTACTGAGGCTGTTGTGGTCAGTGCCTTTCCTACTGCTACACTGACCTTGCCATGATATGCTATCTGATACCATCCCAGAAGTGATGGGGCTGAGGTATCATGGAACAGAACTTTTAAAACTGTAAGCCAAAATAAACTTTCTTTTTTTATAAGTTGATTGTCTCTGGCATTTGTTATAGTAACAGAAATCTTAACTAACATGGTGTAATTTCATTGGGTTTTATACTAGGATTGTATCTGCTGTCTCATAACTATTTGAGTAAAAAGGAGAGTCCATTTTAGAGGTTTCTTGTCTTTATAATTCATATGTACTTTCAAAGTCATGAAGGAGGAGACCATAAACTTTGCCTAACTTAGCTATGTCTACTGGAACAATTGTGGCATAGTACCCAACTGGCAGAAGACAATTTGCAATAGACTACAAGAAGAAAATCACCTGCACTGAGAAGTGATGGAGTTTGACCAGATGAACATCCTAAGACACCCGCCTGAAATACGGGTTGGGAAACTTAGAAGAACTGAGTCCCTTATTCCTGAAAGTATTCAAGAAAAGACTGGCCAGTTTCAGTGGACACAATTTATTTATGACACAGGATATGAAATTTGTATCTACATTTCCTTCTAACATGGGGATTTTAGCTCCATGAAGAAAGCCAAGGTATCACACATGATGTTGATGCTACAAGCCCACATCCATCTCTCCAAGAGTGGTGTTCTTTGAAGTTATTAGCTGGAACAAACCCTTCCATTCAGTTCTTTGTCAAGTTCTTCCATAAGACTACATGGAGATTAGACCTTGAGGGACTTAATTCTTTCTACATACATCCTTTTCAAGGATGGAAAATTTGGGTTTGGTGACAGAAACAAAATGGCAACCTAATTGATTTTTTTTTCAAATAAATAATTTCATTCAATAATGGAGAATTATAACTTTTACCTTTAGTGAAATGAGCACCCCCCCCCCGCAGTTATTTTGGTTTTTTGATAATGCCTCTGCTATGTCTCTTCTTTAAATCAATACAATTGCACACAACTTCTTTCCATCTAAAGTCCCTGTCCACCACACTACTGTTACAGTTAAAGTAAGAAACTCATTGGAAGGTTATTGACTCTGGAAGTGAGTTTACCACTGTGCTGCTTTAAGAAGACAACACAGGTAGTTTACATTCTAGCATTTTTCAGACCATTACACATTTGACACAAAGAATGGGAACACAAAAGGAGTCCCAACCAAAGAGTCTAGAGTCTCTGCTAATGGCAGAAGGGCTCTAAATGATGATAAAATGTCCCTGAAGTGATTGTGTGTGTATCAGTGGGGGTTAGAGGACCAATTTATCAAATTATATTTACCCCAGTCTCCATTCACTTAAGCCACTGGTATGATTGCAACTGCTTCAGTGTGCAGATTTGACTTCTCCAGTTTTGCAGTTTGTCATTCACTGTCCTTAACATGGAGAGGGTTTAAAAAGCACTTCAGATTAGACCTTGTGAGCAAAGGCTGAGACATTTCTGTAAGTCATACAGAGAATATTTCCTTTAAGGACAGGAAGCTTTCTGTGTGAGATGATTTTGATGGAATCTCCAGTCAGGAAGAGCTGTTAATCTTTTATCTCCAAATCCACATTTGACCTTGGGTATTTTTAAAGGTATTAGGTTCAGAAGTTTAACACATAAACTCTCAGGAGAGTATAGAAGGATCACAGCAAAGCTTAGTGTAACTCTCTAGTGAGGTAAAGCAACAAGATGGCAAAGCCAGTTCAAAGATGAGCTGTGTATAATGCTGGGATAACATTCCTAACAAAGATAGGGACAGCTAATATATTGTAGAACAGTGACATGACAGCTTTGTATTTCTTTGGTTTGCTACCACAGACACTTTGATTACACACTAATTCCACATAACAAACATGAATTTGACAGAATGTGAAAATGGTTGAAATTTATTCTTTAACCTTATAGTAAGTTAAAGGAGGGAAACTGGGGAGTCAGTGAGTCCATTTGATAGTGCATCACTATGACAAATGGGAAGATATGCACACAAGCTTCCTTTACTTGGCCTTAGTTATAAGGTTTTACATAATTTTGCTTAAAGATACAAGCAAGCCAGGTACACCGTGAGTGCTATGTGGTAGTGCAGCCAGCCAAGCAACTTGTTTGTTTGAAAAAAACTGATGGTTACCCATGGTGTCTTAGAATGTTAAATGAGAAGAGGTTGTTTTTGTTTGTTTGTTTTTGTTTTGCTATTATCCTTAAGGCTCTCAAACCAGAGAAGGAAAATGAAAATCTCCTGAGAAACTTTAATGAAGATCCACTGCCAAGCCATAACCCAGGCCAGTTCAGTAAGACCCTCTGAGAATAGATTCCAGGAAGAAGCTTATTTGAGATTTCACCAGGAAGCTTCAAAGTACAGCTCTGTGTGTGTATGGAGGGGTTAGTCAGGGAGGTTTATAAGGTTGTTTTTAAAACTAGGACCAAACTAATACCTATTACCCAGTTTTTCTTTAATTATCAGTCTTATTATGAAAATTTTCATTAAACATTGATCACTTTAAAGACTGAACTATGTCCTATCATATAATTTATCATTTATTTGGTTAATCTTTTATTATTGGAAGTTGGGAGTTTTGCCACCTGTCTGTCTGTCACAGTGCCCTTTTCTTTCATTTTGTAACGGTAGCCTAGACTGCCGCAGTCTGTTTACACGGGAGCTGCAGTCACTGCACATTATTCTTTTATCGATGAGACCAGTCTCCTGGGCCAAGGAAAATGAGTGTTTAAAAACATCTGAAACTATTGCCAGCATTGTTCTGTACTGAGCCTTTCAACTCACCTTTTTAAACTTGTGGTTTCTTTACATTTTATTTTAAAAATATTTCATATCACAAGACTGATTAAAAACTTATTTTTTGTCATTACCCCACCCCAGTGGTACTTTTGAGTTCAGTTTTTCTAATCCTGATAAAAGTATCTTTTGAATAAATGGAAAAAGTCCAAAGTCTGATTTGCTATTTTTCTTAACAGTTCCTTGTCAATAAGAGCTCTATTCAGAAGTGCCTGAACCTTGAAGTTTAAAATAGAGCACAGTAGTTAAAAATCTGCATTTTTGTGCTTTGAATAAACTGAGATTTGCACAACAAAGCTTAAATAAAACTGTGAGATCCCTACCTGCCCTACCTAGGGGCAGGTTTCCCCTCTCCCAGAGGCCCTTCACTATATAATCCAGATATTTTGGTTCCTCCTGGCCCTGTCCTTTTCTTCTCTTTTCTATCTCCTTCCTCTTGACTTCTTCTTCCCCACCAGCCTCCCTCTCTCTTCCTCTCCCCTTTCCCCTAACTCCCCCTCCCCCAGTATGTGTCCTCCTTTTCTCCCTTCTTTCTCTGAGTGCTTTTCCCTTCTCCCTTCTCTCTCCCTCCCCTCCTCCTCCCCCATGCTGTTCCCAGTATTCATTTAATATAGCTTTGTCTCTCCATTAGCTCATTTTGTTTTAATCTATAAAAAACTATCAGGTTATATTCTTATATAGATGTTAATGGTTATTGCTTCTGAGAAACAATAGTTTTAACTCAGACTCATTTATTGAGTGCTTGGGTGTTGAAAAACAATCCAGAGCTCATCCTCCCTGAGATGGCGATGGCTTTAATCTGTCTCGAAGCAGCTTTGTCCCTAACAGTCTGCCTCAATCCATCTGCTCCACTTTAAGTTTCACCTCCATAGCATTGTTTACCTCCCAGCATTCAGAAGGAAACTCCAAAGCAATTATTATTGGTTCTGGGTTTAATTGGACCTATTTTTATATGTTGTCACACATCTTCTTAAGTTTTATAAAATTAAAAAAAAACATAATCTCATTATACTGTGCTTGAAAGTTTTAAAAAACACTTACTTGGTGTGCCTGTATTTGTGTGTGGGAGCATGTGTGTCAAATGACAGCTTGCACGAGTCAGTTCTCTTTTTTACCATGTGAGTTCCAGGGTCAGAACACAGGTCAACAGGCTTGATGACAGTTACTCATTGAGCCATCTCTCCTGTTCTATTCTGAGCTTTTTACGCACGCACGCACGCATGCACGCACGCACGCACGAAGATTGTCAAGGCCACAGTACACAGAAAATAAGAGGAGCCATTTTAATTTTGTTTAAGAAAACAGAAAAAAAGTTTCAATGAGTTCAGAACTCAAGGTTTCCCTTCTACACAAGTCCTGTGATGCAGTGCAGAAATGGTAAATTTGCTGAATCATTGTTTAAACTAAGTAAGCTGGGCATGGTGGCACACGCCTTTAATCCTAACACTCTGATGCCGGAATAGGTAGGTCCCTGAGCTTGAGGCTAGCCTGGTCTACAGAGTGACTTCCAAGACAGCCGGGACTATACAGAAAAGCCCTGTCTTGAAAAACTACTACTACTATTACTAGTTATTAGTATAAATAAGTTCTACTTCTTTATCGTTGTCACTCTTAGTTTTAATTTCTTGAGTATGAGACTCCCTTCCCTGTGCTTCTCCTATGGCTAGGCACCAGAGAACAAACCTTAGAAAAGGTTGGCTTCAGGGAAGTCCCGCCCACAGCCTGTTCTTTTGAAGGATACAGGCGTGATGGGGAATGAAGGAGTTAAGAGTGTGGCCAGGTAAACAAGCATCACTTGATGGGCCTTTGGGCAACCTAACTTCAAAGTGATTTCTTCTACATGTGTCTGTTGAAACAACTACGCTTTTGGAAACCTGAACTGGAGGTAGAAGCTAGGAAGCCTTCCCTGAGGTCTCTAAGGTTGGAAAAAGCTACACCCATGTTGATGAAGTTCCTGAAGCTATGGCACTTCTCAGGACATTACAAAGCTGCCTTTAGACCTTTAG